TTCCTCCGGTGGATCCACCGATGGTTTCACCGATGGCTCAACCGGTAGTTCCACCGATGGAACCACCGATGGTTCAACCGACGGTTCCACCGGTAGTTCCACCGCTGGTTCCACCGGTGGTTCCGCGGTGGCTCAGAAGGTGCTGGCGTAGACGATGGCGATGACGAGGATGTTGGCGGCAGTGGCGATGAGCGCCACCCAGAGGCCCACGGAGCCGCGGTCGAGGCGTCCTCGCTGGGGCCGGGCCCCTGCCCCGGCGGGGCCGGCGGGGTCCTCGGCGCCGCGGTGGCCGCTCAGCAGCGCCAGCCCCGAGCCGGAGGTCGAAGCGGCCCCAGCACCGGAGACAGTGTTGGGGCCGGAGCCGTGCTGCTGCTGCTGCTGCTGGTGGTGGCCGTGGTGGTGGTGGCCGTGGTGGTGGTGGTGGTGAGCGCTGGAGACGGTGGTCACCTCTGCCAGCTCCTCCTCGTCCTCCTCCTCGTCCTCCTCATCGTTGGCGAAGGTGCCGGTCCCAGCCGGGAAGTCGATGAAGGAGGCGGCCATGACAGGCATGTGCTGGGATAGAGTGGGGGGAGAGGGGTCGTCGTCATCGCTGTCACCCGCCCGCCCGCCCGCCCGCCCACTCACTCAGTCAAAACCGAAAGTGAATCATCCCTCCCTGCTGGCCGGTGCGATAGACGGGCGGTGGCAGTGATGGTGGCGGCGGTGGCGGTGGTGGCAGTGATGGTGGCGGTGGTGGCAGTGATGGTGGCGGCGGTGCCGGTGGCCACGCTGCTTCATGTGGCTGCTGTAACCCAGTGAGGTGGAGGCAAAGCGAGGGTTGGTGGATCACCACACACTGATGATGCATCGAGGAGCCGTACACTGGCTCGCCACGAGAAGGCGGGACAGTGCAGACGAATCCACATCTGTTCCATCTGTATGGCTTACAGTGTTTTTGTGTTTTCTCCGGGTGTCCCAATATCCTCTAGCATGAAATAATAGGTTTTACCCTTTAAAGCAATAAAACAGGTGTTAATTGTTCAAACACCAAATACATACCTTTCGCAATGAAGCAAATCTGCATTCACACATAATTGTGGTGAACATGCGAATAAGCATGCTCTGACAATGTGCACATTGTCTTTGAAACCGATTGGCATACACCAGTGCCAGACCAGAGAGAAGACAAAACAGGACAACACAATGCACCAATCAGAGCATTCATCATAGTTTGGGGTGAGCAGCGAAATTCTTCACCACCACCACCACCACTCCAACATAACCCAACTTCACCACCACCACCACCACTCCTACATAACCCAACTTCACCACCACCACCACCACTCCTACGTAACCCCACCTAACCACCACCACCACTCCTACATAACCCAATTTCACCACCACCACCACCACTCCCATATAACCCAACTTCACCACCACTCCAACATAACCCAACTTCACCACCACCCACCACCACCACTTCTACATAACCCCACTTCACACCACCACCACTCCTACATAACCCGACTTCACACCACCACCACCACCACTCCTACATAACCCGACTTCACCACCACCACCACCACTCCCATATAACCCAACTTCACCACCACCACCACCACCACTCCTACATAACCCACACTCACCACCACCACCACCACCACTCCTAATAACCCAAACTTGACCACCACCACCACCAATCCAATAACCCCACCTCCCACCCCCACCACCAACTCCTACATAACCCGACTTCCCACCACCACCACCACTCCCATATAACCCAACTTCACCACCACCACCACCACCACCCTACATAACCCAAACTTCACCACCACCACCACCCCACTCCTACATAACCCCACTTCACCACCACCACCACACTCCCATATAACCCAACTCACCACCACTCCTACATAACCCAACTTCACCACCACCACCACTCCTACATAACTTAACTTCACCACACCACCACCACTCGCTATTACCCAACTAAACCACCACTACCACCACTCCCATATAACCCAACTTCACCACCACTCCTACATAACCCCGACTTCAACCACCACCACCACTCCTACATAACCCAACTTCACCACCACCACCACCACTCTCATAAACCCATCTTCACCACCACCACCACTCCTATGTAACCCAACGTCACCACCACCACCACCACTACCCATATAACCCAACTTCACCACTACCACCACCACTCCTACATAACTCAACTTCACCACCACCACCACCACCACCACTCCTACATAACCCAACTTCACCACCACCACCACCACTCCTACCTAACCCCACCTCACCACCACCACCACTCCCATATAACCCAACTTCACCACCACCACCACCACCACTCCTACATAACCCAACTTCACCACCACCACCACTCCTACATAACCCAACTTCACCACCACCACCACCACCACTCCCATAGAACCCAACTCACCACCACCACCACCACCACTTCTACATAACCCAACTTCACCACCACCACCACTCCTACATAACCCAAACTCACACCACCACCACCACCACCACTCCTACGTAACCCCACCTCACCACACCAGCACCACTCCCATATAACCAACTTCACCACCACCACCACCACTCCTACATAACCCAACTTCACCACCACCACACTCCTACATAACCCAACTTCATCCACCACCACCACCACCGACCCACTTCCTACGTAACCCCACTCACCACCACCACCACCACTCTCCATATACCCAACTTCACACCACCCACCACCCACTGCCTACATACCCAAATTCACCACCACCACCACTTCTACAAACCCGACTTCACCACCACTACCACCACTCCTACATAACCCAACTCACCACCACCCCACCACTCCCATTAACCCAACTTCAACACCACAACCACCACCACTCCTACATAACCCAACTTCACCACCACCACCACACTCCTACATAACTCACTTCACCACCACCACCACCACCACTCCTACATAACCCACTTCACCACCACCACCTCCTACATAACCCACTACTGACCACCACAACCACCCCACTCCGACATACACCTACTGTCAACCACCAACACCACCACCACTTCGACATAACCCAACTTCACCACCACAAACCACCACCACTCTACATAACCCAACTTCACCACCACAACCACCACCACCCCACGCCTGTACAATAACCCTACTTTCACCCCACCAACCTCACTACATAACCCTACTTCACCACCACAGACCACCACCCCAATCCTACATAACCCACTTCACCACCCACCACTCCTACATAACCCTACTTCATTCACCACCACGCCGCACTCACATAACCCAACGTGCAACCACCACCCACTCCGACATAACCCAACTTCCACACCACACACTCCGACATAACCCTACTTCACCACCACCACTCCGACATACCCTACCTTCACAACCACACAACCACCACCACTCCTACATAACCCACTTCACCACCACCACTCCTACATAACCCTACTTCACCACCACCACTCCTACATAACCCAACTTCACCACCACCACTCCTACATAACCCTACTTCACCACCACCACTCCTACATAACCCTACTTCACCACCACCACTCCTACATACCCTACTTCACCACCACCACTCCTACATAACCCTACTTCACACCACCACTCCTACATAACCCTACTTCCCACCACTCTACATAACCCAACTTCCCACCACCACTCCTACATACCCTACTTCGACCACCACCACTCCTACATAACCCTACTTCACCACCACCACTCCTACATAACCCTACTTCACCACCACCACTCCTACATAACCCTACTTCACCACCACCACTCCTACATAACCCTACTTCACCACCACCACTCCTACATAACCCTAACTTCACCACCACCACTCCTACATAACCCTACTTCACCACCACCACTCCTTACATAACCCAACTTCACCACCACCACTCCTACATAACCCAACTTCACCACCACCACTCCTTACATAACCCTACTTCACCACCACCACTCCTACATAACCCAACTTCACCACCACCACTCCTACAAACCCTACTTCACCACCACCACTCCTACATAACCCTACTTCACCACCACCACTCCTACATAACCCAAACTTCACCACCACCACTCCTACATAACCCTACTTCACCACCACCACTCCTCATAACCCAACTTCACCACCACCACTCCTACATAACCCAACTTCACCACCACCACTCCTACATAACCCAACTTCACCACCACCACTCCTCATAACCCTACTTCACACACCACCACCTTCCTACATAACCCAACTTCACCACCACCACTCCTACATAACCCTACTTCACCACCACCACTCCTACATAACCCAACTTCACCACCACCACTCCTACATAACCACTACTTCACCACCACCACTCCTATATAACCCAACTTCACCACCACCACTCCTACATAACCCTACTTCACCACCACCACTCCTATCATAACCCTACTTCACCACCACCACTCCTACCTAACCCTACTTCACCCACCACTCCACATACCCAACTTCACACCACACTCCTACATAACTCACTTCACCACCACTCCTATATAACCCTACTTCACCACCACCACTCCTACATAACCCAACTTCACCACCACCACTCCTACATAACCCAACTTCACCACCACCACTCCTACATAAACCCTACTTCACCACCACCACTCCTATATAACCCACTTCACCACCACCACTCCTACATAACCCAACTTCACCACCACCACTCCTACATAACCCTACTTCACCACCACCACTCCTACATAACCCTACTTCACCACCACCACTCCTACATAACCCAACTTCACCACCACCACTCCTACATAACCCTACTTCACCACCACCACTCCTATATAACCCTACTTCACCACCACCACTCTACATAACCCAACTTCACCACCACCACTCCTACATAACCCAACTTCACCACCACCACCACTCCTACGTAACCCAACTTCACCACCACCACCACCACTCCCATATAACCCAACTTCACCACCACCACCGGTAAAGTCACGTAATTCAAATTAAAATTAATTAAAGTAAAATAAAAAATTAAATAAAAATCACGACGTTTCGGAGGCAACACAAGCTTCCGTCTTCAGGTGGAATCGTCACAGCACGATTGCTGTATCAAGTAAGAGAAATTCCAGGTGGTTGATTGATCACACCTCATTACGTTGATTGGCTCTACCGGTCCTGGCCCATAGCCAATGGGGAGAAGTCTAGGGGCGTGGCCCTGACGTAATGGGAAGGTGACATCCGTAAGTAGATGATTGGATATGCTGGCTTTAGCCACAGCCAATGGGGGGACGAGTCGGGGACGTGGTCCTGGGATCGTACGATGGAGTCTGGAAGATTCCATGGAGGTTAACCAGGACTGGTGGAAAGGTACCACGTGACCCGGGTATTAAAAGGGGTGGAGACGGATAACACGTGGTCAGATCTGGAACGAACGAAGGGTGAGGCCATGCTGGAGCGGGGGGTCCAGGCCTGCCACGTGGCAGCGCGAGTCTCTCTCTCTCTCCCTCTCACGCTGTC